TAGAGAAAGAAGGTTAGTATAAATTTCTTTTAATGGAAGCGAAATATGTAAATTTTCAGTCATAGCAGTTAAAATTTTATATATATGGAGTACGAATAGTGTTAATAATAGGTTGGTCATTACTAATAATCCAGCTATAATAATATTCTGCGTTATTAACAGCTAAAATTAAATTACAATTTTTTTAAAGCTGCAATGCAAAAAATAGTCCATATTTTTCTTGTAGTTCTTAATGAATCTGAATTTTAGTGTGCTTTATGGAACTTGGGAATAGCCCTTGTTTATTATTCCAAAGTTAAGTTAGAGTTTAGTTAATATTTTTATATTCTTACGTTCAGACCACAAGTGGTTGGTCTCTGTATTCCGAAGTCCGGACATTCAAGATCTCAAGCTAAGAACCAGTGCTATAGTTAAGCAAATGCGCCAGTTTTATGGTTATAAGTGGGGACTCAATCCACACATACAAAAAGTGTTATATACGACAGTAGTGGAAAAGATAGCTACATACGCAGCAGCAGTTTGGTGCCACCCAATGCAGGGCAGGAAGATTAAACATCTTTATACCATACAACGGCCCTTCGCATTGGGCATTACAAGGGCCTACCGTACAACCTCATAGGATGCTCTTAATGTATTAGCTGGTCTACTCCCACTACACATACGAGTTGAAGAAGAGGCGGCCAGACAGATTATACTGCAACTCAAAAAGCCAACTGTGTTTGACGAGGAATACTTCCATCCGGAAGAATATGAAGTCATTGATCGACCACTGCATGTCCACCCAGCGAGCAAAGGCACTGGTGTCAAAGTCACCATCAACCCGTCTACGACTAATTCCCCAACACTATTTAACATCTTCACCGACGGCTCCAAAATCGATGAAAAAGCGGGATGCTCATACATAGTCATGCGACATGATACAATTCAAGCAAGATGGAAGGCACAACTGCGGCAGCATAACAGTGTTTTTCAAGGAGAAGCGATAGCAATTTCCCAAGCAGTTAACTATTTGCTCTCCTATAACATCCATAATGCCACCATCAAAACCGACAGTTTGTCGTCGTTGCATGCCATCATGAACCCCAACCATGTCAGTAAAATAATACAGGGCATTCAAGCTTGATGTGCAGGTTGCATTGGCGCAGCAAATCTGCGCCAATGCAACCTGCACATCAAGCTTGAATGGATCAAAGCACATGCGGGTCATCTCGTAAACGAGATGGCGGACCAACTTGCCAAAGAAGCGGCGTTAGGCCCGACAGACTTGCAGTTCAATATCCCATGGCCGGTCACATTTCTAAAGAAGTCACTACGACTTAAAGCCATTGGCAAGTGGCAACAAGAATGGGATGACAGTACCACTGGCAGACGTGTCTACTACCACATCAGCTATGTGGACACAGAACGGAACATTGCCAATACACAGCTGGTTAGGTACATTTCGGGACATGGACCTTTTCCTGTATACTTCTACCGATTTGGAATCTGTTCCTCAGATCAATGTACGTGTGGACACACAGGCTCCCCGGAGCACTACCTAACTTCTTGTCCACTCACAGAGGGACAACATGTTCCTATACCAACGACTAACAGACAGTCATTTTGTAAATTCCTTATTAAGCAGCGCCACTTAATCCAAAAAATTGGACGTATGATGGATAAGCTGGCAGACCTAAACACAGACTTATGCCAAATATAGCAGTCCGCGCAGCCCTAAGCACACTTGCATATACTCAATGCAATATGAACTGCATAACGATTACAACAGTTACAGTGAAATTTGTAATGAATGGACGCCTAAACTCTGCGTCTGATTTTACACCCAATATGCAAACCACATAGGCACATGTAATATTATTAAAATGCAATAGTATCTGTAAGTTTGTTCCAAATGTAATCTGCAAATTGCAAACTGTGCGTATGTGTGTCTAAGACAAAATGTGCTATACTGCAGTTCAAATGTATTGATGTAACTCCAACATAGTAAGCGAAGCTATAATGCAACCAGTGTTCCGGTCATTGATTTATATGTAACGTGCGCTTAATGTAAAGATAGTGTCTAAACTATTACTCAGTATACTCAGTATATGTTTTTTTATATTTAGGATATTTGTGTATGCTTTTTATATTTTAGCATGGTTCCTTCATATAACTGTCCAATGGTTTATTTATTGTACCGATTTTATGTAACATATGCTTACTGTACCCATGATATCAGGGACTGTATTCTATATTGTACCATTCCCCCATATATGGTTATCCTATGCAATTTTGTGTAACTGTCTTCCATGCTTTACCCCTGTATGTATATAACTATGTTCCATAGCATATTCTAACACGCACCTGTGAGGCGCAGTAAGTGAAGTTTTAACGCAACCAGAGTTTCAGTCCTTGATATATATATATATAATGTCTGTTTAATGTAGACAAAGTAACTCAGTCATTGATTTTCATGTAATGTATGTGTAATGTATATATGATATCAGTGTTTGTATTTTATATTTAAGCATGTCTCTTACATATGACTGTATCATGCATTAATATGTAATTGTTTTTCATGTTTTACACCTGCATGTACATGGCTATGTACTATGGAATATTTTAACATGCTCCAGAGTAGCGCAATAGCATCTGAGTCTTTGATATATGTCAGGTTAATGTAAACATAGTATCTCAGTCACTATTTTTTATGTAACATATGTTTAGTGTTTATATAATATTGTTTCCATAATCGTTATGTAACTCTCCACAAGTTTCATCCCTGCATGTAAATAACTATGTACATAGATTATTTTAACGTGCCCCTGTGTGGTGCAGTTAAGTGAAGATTTAATGCAACCAGTGCCTTCATTTTTTGATATTTAGGCTACGCCTTTTTAATGTAGATATAGTATTTTAGACAATTAATTTCATGTAACGTGTGTGTAATGTATCTAGATGTTTCCATGTAATGTATGTGTAATGTATCTAGATGTTTCCATGTAATGTATGTGTAATGTATCTATGATATCCGTGTTTGTATCTTATAATTCAGCATGTCTCCACATATGATTGTCTTATGCATTATTATCTAACTGTTTTCTATGCCTTACTTACCCCTGCACATATATAACCTTGTACCATAGAATACTTTAATATGTGGCTGTGTAGCGCAATAAGTGAAGCTTAATGCACAGCGTCTGAGTCTGTGATATCCATGCAATGTCTGTCCAATGTAAACATAGTATCCAAGTCATTAATGTTTACGTAACAAAAGTTTAATGTATTTAGGATATTGGGTGTTAATAATTGTTAAGTAACTTTTTCCATGTTTTACCCCTGCATGTAAATAACTATGTACCATAGAATATTTTAACGCGCCCCTGTGTGGAGTAGTAAGTGAAATTTTAATGCAACTAGTGCCTCAGTCCTTGATATTTAGGTAATGTTTGATTAATGTAGGTATAATAGTATGTTAGTTATTGATTTTTATGTAACATATGTTTAATGTATCTATGATATCTGTGTTGGTATGTTATATTTCAGCATATCTCCGCATATAATTGTTTTATGCATTATCATCTTACTGTTTCCATATCCTACCCCTGCATGCATATAACCTTGTACAATAGAACATTTTATCTTACCCCAGTCAGGCGCAATAAGTGAAATCTAATGGACCTAGGCGTCCTTGATATTTGTATTGACACTGGTGGACGTGGCGCTACACCAATTAACCATATGGTAAAGGGGTGGTGCCCACGTCCTCCGTCGCATGTCGCATGTCGCATTCCGAAGTCCGGAAGTCATTGTAAAGAGTGAAAAAATAAAGGGTTTCGTATACCCTTCCTGTGTATCTTGTCTACTTCCCACATTTATTGAACATAGCTTTAGTAAGCTCCCTGTTCCGAGTCAGGTTCTTGAATGTTCCCAAAGCAAGTAAGAAGAAACACTGAACCTGATAAGGTAAGCTTATAGCTAGACTTAAAAATAAATTCGTTTATTCTATTTTCTATACTGCTAGTGCCAAACTTTTACTAATGTACCCTACTGGTCTGTAGTTTGTACCAAAGCTCATGCGTTTTTTAAGCTGTGGGTCTTGAATGATATCCAGGTTGCCAATAACTATGTGTTGGCGGTGATATGTATTTTCTCATACATATACAAATAATATTGCATTAATTTTCTGAATTACTACCAGCATCACTTTCAAAATGTATGCATTTATTTTCTTAGATACGGAGTTTCAAAACTCTGCAAATTTTGTACGCCTTTTTTCTCTAATACATGAGCAAAATTAAATTATTTTGTGAATCCTTCCCAGTTTCACTTTCAAAATTCAGAAAATTTGTTATGCATTTTCTCTCTATTATATGAATAAAATTAGATTGCTTTTGTACTTTTCTCTCAAATTGAGAAAATTTGTTATGCATTTTCTCTCTATTATATGAATAAAATTAGATTGCTTTTGTACTTTTCTCTCAAATTGAGAAAATTTGTTATGCATTTTCTCTCTATTATATGAATAAAATTAGATTGCTTTTGTACTTTTCTCTCAAATTGAGAAAATTTGTTATGCATTTTCTCTCTATTATATGAAAAAAAATTAGATTGCTTTTGTACTTTTCTCTCAAATTGAGAAAATTTGTTATGCATTTTCTCTCTATTATATGAATAAAATTAGATTGCTTTTGTACTTTTCTCTCAAATTGAGAAAATTTATGCATTTACTTTATAAGATAATAATAATATAATATAATAATACAATAGTAAAATTAGAATTATTTTTTGTAAATCATTCTCAGAATCATTTTGATAACTCTGCAAATTTTATCGTGCGTTAAAAATTTTAGTCTTCAGAACATAATACATATATACATTAGTGAATGCTTAGTTGCAAAAATTACTTGATGAGTGTATGAAAATAAAGTATTTATTTTTACAATTAATATTTATTTAAACCTAATAACAGTACACAATAAAAATATATGTTTAAAAATGTGAAATGAAATTACAATGCATTAAAAAATCATATTTCTAATATAGTAGAATTCAAATACTAAATACATTTACAATTAATTAAACATACAAATCTTTGCTAAGGACATATGGAGTATCATAATGTAAATTCTAGCTTTAAAATTTTTTATAATTTTGCAATCTGTTTCTTATAATAATAAAATGGTTATATAGTCATTACGTATACATAAGTTCTAAATTAATTTTAAAGTACGTTCAGGAAAAAGTTCATTCTTCTTTCAGCCTGCCTAGTGCATTATCGGCAATGTCGTTACAGGCACCAGATACCATTTCTGAATTATCAGCATTATGTGAATCGAGGAATTCCATTCCGTTTTCAATATTCGAATTCATCTCCTTCTTCAGTTTCCTTTTCAAAGCTTTTATTTCTTTCCTTTGTTGCTTAACCTTTAGATGTTTTTTACTCTTTACGTGATTCTGAGCACTTGGAACGCCATTGAAACTCAGATGGCAAATATTGCAAATCAGGAAATCATAGACCTCCTTGCTGTTTGCGCTGGTCTCACCGTCTTCATCAGAATACTCTGAAGATTTTATAGGAATTATTTCAGGATGAGCTGACAGCAGGGCCATGATATCAAATTTAGATTTTTGCTTTTCGTGGTCATTTCTTCTCAAGTGAATCTTCAAAGCTATAGGATCGTTGAAAGACCTTTTGCATTCTTTGCAAACAAATTTTCCGTCTTCTTCCTCACGGATGTAAAACTCTTTTAGATCTTCAGCAACTTTTGCCTTTTTTACTTCCTTTTTGTGAATAGCGCTTTCCATGTGTGTGGCATATGGTATTGGTCCGCTGAAGAATTTACCACACACTTCGCAAAAGTACTCCTCTTCCTCGTTATCTTCAGACTTTACATCTGGGCTGTCCTTCTTCCATTTTTCAAGAAGGGCTTGCTGTTTGCTTTTTTTATCGTGTGCTGAACTTCTCAAGTGCTGATGATAATTTTCTGGGCCACTGAATGACTTTTGACATGCAGTGCAATGAGCGAATGGCTTTTCCAGTAGCTCATCATTATCATCTTCTTCGTTTTCAACAAACTTGTCGACTATTCCTTCTACCTCTTTCAACTTTTCCTTTAGTTTAAGTTTTTTAAGATTCTTTGAGTGTCCCCTGCCCTTCATGTGCGCTTTATATTGGGAGAAATCACTGAACACCTTCTCACAAACATCGCAACTGAATTCTGAATCCTGATCATCATTAACATCGTCTTTTAATTTATTCAACTTTTTATACTTTTCTTTCGTTTCTTTCTTGCCTAGCATTTTGTAATGCTTCTTACTTTTTAAGTGTTGCTCGTAGGATTTTACACTAGTGAAGTCCATATCGCAAACGTCGCACTCGATTTCCAGACTGTCACTGCTGTCGTCGCTGTCTGAAGCCACATATTTTCCCCTCTTTTCTTTTTCTGAATCCATGTTCGTTTACCTGAGGAATAAAAATACCACACGTGAGTTGGAATGCAGATTTAAAAATTTCAGAATGAAAGAACGTATATAAAAGTAGTCAAATATTAGATTTGTTTCAGATGTTAGGACACTCCGAAATATACTGAGTGTCCCAAAATAATGTTTAACCCCATTTGAACTTTAAAAACAGAGAAGCTATTAAAGACGGCTGATAGGATATTTTGTATTTGAAACTGTAATGTCTGCATTGAATATATGTGTGAGTATATACCGTGTTCATAAAAATTCTTACTCCGACTTTATTTTCGCAACAGGTGAGTGTATACATATATTTACAATTACAAAACGGTTTTAAATAATGCAAAGATTCATCTTTTATAATTTTTAAATTTAAAGAGTCAATTTAGTCAAAATAATGAAACCTAACCTTTGACACGCTTCTTCGATCCCTATACCTGTATTTAGAAAAATATTGTACTCGTTTTAAAAATTTCAGAACGAAAGAAAAAGCACAAAAGATTAGAAAGAAAAGCACAAAAGGTAAAGCACAAAACGATTGATTCCCGTACAACAAAAATTGATTGAGATATTTGATATTAAAATCGAGCATCACATTTAGGTAGCGTGCATAATTTTAAGAGTGAGATCTTTTCATTTGTGCTTAAATAAAAATATCTGTTTAGAAAAAGGTTTCTGATGTTAAGAAATTTAGGAACGAATATTCCTATGCAGATTATTGTAAAAAAATATGAATCAGTATAGTTTTTGTTTTTAAAATAAAAATCTTATTCTCAGAATTTTATAGAATTCGTATTCTAGAAAACACTGGTAGGCTTCAGTATTGGCATGCAGCCAACTCATACTATTCTTTGTAATAATTAAAATGAAAAATATTTGTAATTTTAAAGAATTATTTGTACTGTAAGGTTTATCCTAAGTTTTTGACAGTTATCTTTAGTTAAAGCTACTTTCCTATCCTTCCTAATTTCAGCCTACAATTTCCTACTAGAATGTGTTTTTAGAATAGCGTTTAATGCAAATGAGTGGTATTTAAGTCGAAGTTCCACTGACTAACGCGCGTTCGCCTTTTGGCTACGTCTCTCTAAGCTATTACTACGCTCGGCCGTATTTCAGGCACTCGATAGCTTTCTAACTTATTTGATTCTTAGGAGCCAATTACTTAGAATCTTGATAGCTTCGGCTATGTCTCTTTTTTAGTTAAGTTTTACTTCTTATTACTTTAAGTGTGGACGCTTTGTTGTGAGTTCTGAGAAAGGAGAAGGCTGTTAAGTTCTTATTGTCTCTGTTTATGAACTATTCGCTGAAGTGTTCATGAGGTTCCTATACACTTAGCTATTAGATACAAGGTTGCAACCTCACAGTACAGTTATCAGATTATGATCCTAAAGTAATAAAACTTGATGATAATTTTAATAATGAATATTTTCAGCTTTGATGGTGTATAAATAACTGGTGAAAAATTCTTGAGGCATACCAAATGTAACAAAATTATAAATAAAGACAAAAATAAATCACAAAAGAATATCATTGAATGGCATTTAAGGCAAACAAAAGTCAGTCTCGAATAATCCTAATTTATGTATTAACCGATCACTCAATGCAAACTGAAAATGAGATCAGAAATAGCAAATTCTGTAATTCAATAACTCAGTCTTACGGGAAACAAACTTTTGTGTTTTATTTTTTGTAAAGCGTATAACATTTCCTTAAATATAATGTTATGAATTTTGTATATATGTAAATTATTTTAGTAAAATTATGTGTAAGTTGTAGTATCTGTTGTAGAGTGTAATATGAAAAGTCTCAAGAGAGTGAAGCTTCCTCTGAAAAATAAGGTTACAGGGGCAAGTCCATTTAGCACTGAGCTAAATGACTATTTCGCCACTAAGCTGGCGATGGTTTGAATTTTGATACTAAAATGCCCAGAAACTACATTCGTTATTATATGCTATTCTTCTAAATGAATATTTTTTAGTAATTGATCTTATTTAATTAAATTGGGACCAAGAGCAAATTTAAACTCCGATTTAGGTGAACATGAATTGCTCGCTTTTCATCGGTCTTACGTGTCATGTGACTTTGGGGATACTGCAGTCCTATCAATTGTTTATTCCAATCAATTGTAACAGAACTCCGTCTTGGAGTTGTACAATAAAGCCGACACTCGGGCTTGAACTTAAGAGACTAAGAACTAAACTAATCTTAACTAAAAAAGATATAGCCGAAGCTATCAAGATTCTAACGGAGTTGGCCCCTTAACGCTAATTGACTGCGAGCTATCAAGGGCCTAAAGTACGGCCGAGCGTAATAATAGCTTAAGAGAGAGTAGACTAAAAAGGATGACGCGTGCTAGCCAGAAACTCTGGTTCTCTCTGACTAAGGCTCCAACTCCAACTCCAACTTGCTTTATTTTCCGCGATTAACCTGCGAAATTGCAGGTTGTGTTCCGGCTATCGAACTTTTGGTGCTTCTAGGAGCGCTGCAGGTAAGGAAATGCCGAACGTAGTTCTCGTGGAGACAGGATAGCAGATGCAGGGGGTGTGACCAATGTCACGTGATGAGCGATAAACTGACTAAGACAATAGAACTTCGCAATTACTAAATACCGCTCTTCCTCGATTTGCATACAAACGTGATTCTAAAACTACGTTCTGACCGGAAGTGGTAAGCTGAAATCAAGAAGGGATAGGAAAGGAAGTTTAACTCAAAATTTAACTGTTAATAAAATTAACATAATCCTTACACAGTTTAAGATAAACAACAATTCGTTCAACTTTAAACATTATCAGACATAAAGGCGAAAATATCACAACTTTGGTTTCGTTGGAAATAGTCAACCCATGTCAAAGTATTGTTGTTACATACGTATAATCGAATTTAAAAAATAATGTGAAATATAATTATATATATGTGAATATAATTAATGGGTATGTGGAAATATTGAGATTTTAGCCTCGCAAGAGAAAATTTAACGTTCTTCGCGTTGACACCACATAAAATTGAACAATAAAATCACAAAATATAGTTTAAAAGCAGCTTACTTTTAGACTTCCTAATAGAGTATTAAATGATGCTCAGCTTTCTTAGTAAGTTATTGATTAATACAACTTTTCTTTTATTATTATTAGCTCCAAAGGGATTATGAGTCTCGAATCTCAATTTTTCGTCGAATCATTCCTAGTGTCATATCACTTTTCAAATAAAGAGATGCCAAGATGTAAGTTAACCGAAGGGGAAAAGCTTTTATCACCTGGAAGAATGACGGAGAATACGCGGCAGCAACAAACGAAATCGAAATGACGAAGGTCAGTCTAAACATAAAACGATCTAGAAAATAAAGAATTCGAACGTCCATTGTCAGAAAAAAAAAGAAAAAAAAAAGATAACGCGTTAAAAACGAGTCTTTTTGGGCGATGTTAAAATCTGAACATTTCAGATTTTTTAATTTTTATAACCTTTATTTCATTTTTAATTAACTTTTTACCTTTTTAACTATGAATTCCTATGGATTATTAAAAATCACTTTCTTCTCATTTAGGTCACACAAAACTCAACATCAGAATCCCAAAATTTAAAAAAAATATATGTTTAGAATTCCCAATAGAGTGTTTCCTTTTAGATACATATTCGCTATGTTATTTTTTTTAAGTAATACATGGCGATAATATTTTGTGGCAACATCATTTTATTTGTGTTACCACACTTTTTTTTATTCGCTGCATTATTTCTTTAAAAGTAATACGTGTCCATGTAATTTGATGACAGGCCGGTGGCTCAGTGGCTAGCGCATAGTGCAGCAGCACCACAGGTCACGGGTTCGATCCTTAAATCCCTTGATGGATCGATAAAATGAGTACCAAATTGGCTTGGAGACTAAACACTTGGGGTTCTGTGGCAAGCTGACCACTTGTCCATGTACCCCGAGGATGTTAAATGTTCATGTACCCCGAGATCAAGGTCAAGAAAGCAGATATCAGGGCCCTGCAGGCCATGGCTCACTAAGGGCTGTTACGCCATTTAGTTATCTAATTTGATGGCAACATTTGAAAAGTGATACGGGCAAAAAAGAAGTTTGAGCCTAATAGAGTCTTTATTTGGCATAGACTGACGAAAATTCTATCAGTTTCGACGGCATTCTGTCACAGAGAAGTTACAATGCTTCACTAAAATTCCATTTTCAACGTGACTAACATTGTAACATGTAATTTGAAACACTATAACTTTTACGGTGCTTATTGTAGAAACGGCGGTTTGCAAATGTTGGACTAGTTAATGACACTTTCATCTTCATTTGCTCTAATTTTTACTCTGAACTGCTCTCTGTTAATGTTGTGTGCTATATAGCAGGTTTGATTGGAAAAAATCAAAGTTATCGTTTCCATATTAAAAATAAATAAATAATATAAAATTTGAAAATACAATCTAGATTTACAACCAGAAATAACTGTAACACAAGTATTTAATTATGCTCTATCATAGCTGTACGTAATTTATATAACTATTTGCCTCAAGCCTTGTACAGTGATAAAAGTACACAGCTACGTCTTAGGTAATTATGTCTTTTCTTTACTAAATGGATGCAAAAATCTTGAGTGGCGCCATTTTAAAATGGAATTAGTAAAATAAAAAGTTTTCTCACTATTGTTTGATAGTGCTATTACAAGCCCTTTATTTCATATAAATGATTTTAGATTCTGTATTTTAAACTTCTTGGAACTCTTTCAGGTCTTTCGTAACGGCTTAGTTTAAAGATTTTTCAAGTGATAAACTGTATATTGAATACGCAATAAGAGATTGACTTTTTCATAAGTTTGTAATATTTTATATATTTTAAAACCCTTTTTTAATTTTTTTTTAAAAGTGTAACGGTAAGTTCCCTCTTGCAGTGTTAAAATATAATCTGAAGTACTCAGTCTAAAATCTCAAAAAAGCATTTACAATAAAATTTTTAATCTGAAATATTCAAACTGCAGTTTTGCTTAGATTATTTTAATGAAC